TAACATTTGGGTTGGAAATCATTTTCAGCCTTGTTTCCCTAACATTGTAAGATTGAAGCTATGGATGTCTCTAAAGACTAGACCACCATGTTCTTTCTTAATTGTGAATTTACCCCATTTCATCTAGTTAATACTCCTACCCGTGTTGTTATTTGAACCCCACTAAAAGGAGTTCATCAAGTGTTGGATTTCTTCAACAATGGTATTGGGAATAAGGTAGGCACTCATCTGATACTACAAGATGGGCTAGAGCACTGCCTTGACCATTACATCCTTTCCAACAAGATCTGTGAGAAACAGACACCCCTTCTTTAAAAAAGGGGGGGGGGCATCATGCATTTTCTAAAAAAAATAATAAATAAATCAAAATCAAACACAAATATATCATTCTTATTGTGTTATTTTCATCATATGGAACCGATTTAGGGTGTTTTAGGGGTGCTTAATACCTTCCCTATACGTAACCGATCCCCGAACCCAATTCTGGTTTTCAAGGTCATTATCGGACTTTTAAAAATATTTTCTTTTTCCAATGTTTTGAGTAAAACATTGGTGGCGACTCCATGAACGCTATTTTCAAAACCATTAATTAAGGATTAGTCTGGTGTCCGAGCATTCCTTAACTGATGAGATTTTTAAAAGGATGTCTAAACCATAGGTCGCAAGATCGGAAATTTTTGGGTTGCGACAGATGGAGACTCCACTGGGAAGTTTAAAGAGCGTCAGACCCATATAAATGATGAAGTTAATAAAATAAGAATAATAATTTAAATATTTTTCCCCTTTACTTTGTTTGTTTTATTTGTTTGACTTTAATATATGTTTGCTTGTTTAAATTCTGCAGCTATTTGAATACAAATTGTACACAAACCATAGCACACAACAGTCCCCATACACCCAGGGGCATGAGGGTATTAAATATAAGGAGTGGTTGACGTACGACCGACCCAAGTTTGGCCTTGGAGCCTGCGAGTCTTGTCGGAAATCACACTCAAGGTGATAATCGGTTAATCTAGCCCAAAATACTGCAACAAACCTTAGAGTTTTCTAGGTGACGATGACAGAGATACTAGGTCCCTAAAATGGGGGCACCTTGAGGGCCTTAAAACCAGTGAGAATTGAACTATCCTATATAAAGCATTTTCTTTGACAGGGATCGCAGACCATGGAGTGTATCGTTCATGGATTCGTTTGTATGAGCATGTTTATTGCATTTCGTTGATTCAAACTATTTATTTATTCATTTTTTTATAATTCCCCCTAAGATAAAGAAAAACAAAAAATGCATTATCATGTGAAAGAAAACCTAGTATGAAAATAAGATCTGTGAGAAACATACATCCCTTCTTTAAAAAAGGGGGGGGGGCATCATGCATTTTCTAAAAAAAATAATAAATAAATCAAAATCAAACACAAATATATCAACAAAAATAAAAAAACATACATATCATTATTTAGGATCACTAAGGGGATTTGTATCAAAGATGAAAAAATCAGCGTGGCCTTTTTCACATCATAAAATATTATGAAGAGGAACACCGATAACTCACCTCACAGCGAGGATGAGCCATCGAATCTTTGTTAGGAACCCCCTTTCATGCATCTACATCCAAATAGTTTAATATGAAACTATTCATTGTCACTCGAAGGTGGTTTTTCAACACTCCATACTCACGAACTCTTAGGGTGGAAGAGTCATGGGAGTTTTACAAGAAGGAATTCATGTACTTTTTAAGGAGTTCATACAGCTCAAACAACAAATGGCTAAGATGTTTGAGACCATGACCAGAATGCAACATGACATTGACGACATTAGAGGCTATCTGGGTGCCTTATATATATATCATTTATGATATTTGATAACCAAATTTTCTTTGTTTATAATATTCCTTAATAGATTGAAGGAATAAAAAATTCTTTGGTAATTGAACTTCTAAAAGGAATAGAGATATGATTTTTCATCAAAGAAAGATCAAGCAAATATCTCAAAGAGTGTGAAGTCTTAGATAAAGTCATTTTCGACTAACACATACAATAACTTTGTTGGTTCTTGTTTACTAGAATCTAGAAGGGGGTTGAATAAATTCTATCTTAAGAAGACTTTATTTTTTAAATTTCTTGATTTTAACCTACCAAGATATTCAATACTCAACCTCTAATAAATTTTATTTAACAAATTACAGTAGATTACAAGGTACAATACCAATATAGTAGAATTTCAATGTTAATGCAGTGAGTTAGTCACTTGTAATTGTAGACACCCAATTTCATCCGGACTCACAAAAGCAATGAAATGGACATCTATTATCAAGGAAAGGAGCTCCCAAAACATGAAAACAATAGGACATGACATCAGAAGGCCTAAAGCCCAACAAAGGATGACTTAGTAGCCCAGAACGGGCTGTTCCAGAAATGGAACGACCTGTTCCCAAACTGGAACGGGTTGTTCTCAAGCTGGAATGACCTGTTCTAAAGTTGGAACGGGTTGTTCTAAAACTGGAACAAGCCGTTCCAAACCACAAAAAAGGCCTAAAACCCTAGTCTGGAATGAGGCGTTCCAATGTGGTAGTTTTCTGTTAAAACTCAATTTTAGAATGGGCCGTTCTGATTTCAAAACGGGTCGTTCCAGGATGTGAAATTAACACATAACGTACAGATCTAGAACAGCCCGTTCCGAATCCAGAACAGGCCGTTCTGGCAATTTATGATGTCTATAAATAGCAGACTTGGGCACAGTTCTCAGGGCCATAAAATTTCGTCCAAGATTCCTTAGAGCTCAAAATTTCTCTTTCTATCTCCTCTGTATTTCTTGAGATTTGTGAGGAACATTGTAGTGTGTTAGGTCGCCAAAAAGCGCCTAAAGGTCTCCATATTTGAAGATCTAATAAAGCTCACACAAGAGGTATTTCAATCAACCCTCATCTCTCCTTCTATTTTCTCATTTTTTTTAAAAATATTATTGTAATAAAAGCAGTCATGTAGACATTTTAGGGTCAACCGCTTAATTTAAATTTATTTATGTAAATAAAAATTCATAAAGGGGACTAAATATTTATATTATTAATTCTTATTGTGTTATTTTCATCATATGGAACCGATTTAGGGTGTTTTAGGGGTGCTTAATACCTTCCCTATACGTAACCGATCCCCGAACCCAATTCTGGTTTTCAAGGTCATTATCGGACTTTTAAAAATATTTTCTTTTTCCAATGTTTTGAGTAAAACATTGGTGGCGACTCCATGAACGCTATTTTCAAAACCATTAATTAAGGATTAGTCTGGTGTCCGAGCATTCCTTAACTGATGAGATTTTTAAAAGGATGTCTAAACCATAGGTCGCAAGATCGGAAATTTTTGGGTTGCGACAGATGGAGACTCCACTGGGAAGTTTAAAGAGCGTCAGACCCATATAAATGATGAAGTTAATAAAATAAGAATAATAATTTAAATATTTTTCCCCTTTACTTTGTTTGTTTTATTTGTTTGACTTTAATATATGTTTGCTTGTTTAAATTCTGCAGCTATTTGAATACAAATTGTACACAAACCATAGCACACAACAGTCCCCATACACCCAGGGGCATGAGGGTATTAAATATAAGGAGTGGTTGACGTACGACCGACCCAAGTTTGGCCTTGGAGCCTGCGAGTCTTGTCGGAAATCACACTCAAGGTGATAATCGGTTAATCTAGCCCAAAATACTGCAACAAACCTTAGAGTTTTCTAGGTGACGATGACAGAGATACTAGGTCCCTAAAATGGGGGCACCTTGAGGGCCTTAAAACCAGTGAGAATTGAACTATCCTATATAAAGCATTTTCTTTGACAGGGATCGCAGACCATGGAGTGTATCGTTCATGGATTCGTTTGTATGAGCATGTTTATTGCATTTCGTTGATTCAAACTATTTATTTATTCATTTTTTTATAATTCCCCCTAAGATAAAGAAAAACAAAAAATGCATTATCATGTGAAAGAAAACCTAGTATGAAAATAAGATCTGTGAGAAACATACATCCCTTCTTTAAAAAAGGGGGGGGGGCATCATGCATTTTCTAAAAAAAATAATAAATAAATCAAAATCAAACACAAATATATCAACAAAAATAAAAAAACATACATATCATTATTTAGGATCACTAAGGGGATTTGTATCAAAGATGAAAAAATCAGCGTGGCCTTTTTCACATCATAAAATATTATGAAGAGGAACACCGATAACTCACCTCACAGCGAGGATGAGCCATCGAATCTTTGTTAGGAACCCCCTTTCATGCATCTACATCCAAATAGTTCTCACCGGTTCAATGACCGGTCCGGTTTTTAAAACACTGCTTTTGATAGACATTTGCCACTTCATGATTGCACCTTCTTTCAAATTCTATCCTTGAGAAAGCCAAAGATTGCCCTCTTGTTTCGTCCAATAAAAAATAGTCTTCCTATATACTTTCCAATCCCCCGAGCATTTAGCTATTCCTAACTAGTTTGATATTGAGTTTTCATGTATTTAACAAGTATCCACAAAACATGTATGTATTTTAATATCTATCTTCGTTCTTATATTTTTTTTAATAAATACTAATATATCCATTGAAATTATTAAGTTAATAATGTGTTATAGATTTTTTTTATTCATAAATATCTGAATATAGATTTTTAACTATCCTAAATGCATCAATACGTAACTTTTAAAATGATAATTATCGTAATAGATACACAATAAATTGCGACATATGGATAAGAATTAATGTTTATAAATCTTTTCAGAAGCTAAATAGTTATCATCAGATACAATTTGATGTAGGAACAAAATTACATATTTCTAAAAATTTAAGACCAAAATTCATAATTTAAAATAGAAACTAAAATAACGTAAATAAATAAATTAAGAATTGAAGGGCGACCAAAAATGTAACTTAACCTAAATTTTTACTTTAATACAAACAAAAACTAATTTTCATTTTCAAAATAAAATGTCGCTCTCAAAGTCAAATATACGACGAAACTCTGGATCCTTGGCGCATTGCGCACCATAGCCGCTTGTTATATCTGACCAATCACCGCCAAAGTGTGTGCGATACTCCTTTCCCTCTCTTCACTCTTCCATTTCCCGTTTTTCTGCTTCTCTTTTCCCACTTCTCTTCCTCCATGGCCTCCGAGAACGCCGCCGCCGACGACGCCGTCAACGGCTTCACTCGCCCGGAGATGTACACCGAAAACCTCGCCGGCACCGTCGACGCCTACGACCGCCACGTGTTCCTCTGCTACAAGAGCCACGTGTCCTGGCCCTCGCGCATCGAGGCCTCCGACTCCGATCCCCTCCCCAAGCGCGTCGCCGCCGCCTTCAAGGCCCGGAAGAACGACATAACCGTCAAGGTTCGTGAGCGGAAAAGGTTTCGTACGTTTTTTTTTTCTTCTTTTTTTCCGCTATTGTTGCTACCATCTGAGGTTGACTTCGGTGGTTTGACTTTGCAGACGAAAATCACTGTGTGCGAGGCGCGTGAGGAGGCTGGCTTCTCCGACGGCGACGTTTTGATTTTCCCCGAAATGATTAAATACAGGTGAATTGGAGGCTCTGTTTTGATGTGCTATTATCAGGGTTTCGTTTTTGTTATTTATTGAACTGAAGCTGAGCTTCGGTTGTTTTTGTTAGGGTTTTGTTCTGTGTGGTAAACAAAACCTGAGTTGAATTCAGCTAACATTTGAGCTCGGATGGGTCAAGTTAATTTTAAATCTTGAGTATTTTGTATGCAATGCTAGGTAGATTTTCTGAGATGCATATTGTGAATTGTGTGTAACGCCGGAACTGTATGGATTTTCTTGCTTGTAAGGTGTAGAGCTAGGCTTTAGTCTGCAAATGGTTCGAAGCGTTTAATATTATATTATTATAATTCAAACTATTGTATTTTATTCATAGTTGTCAATAGCGCCAAATAGTAGCGCTACCGTTGAATCAATTGTGTAGCGTTTCAGTTTGAAGTATGGCTACAAATGCCCGGAAAAATCGTGTCTTTAGGACTGTTTGAGGTAGCTGGCAATTCTGGATTTTCCTCCCTCCTTTGATTCAGAACTCAAACCCTAATTTTACTTTCTCAGGCCCTTTTGTGTGCATTCTGTTATGGAAAAGTACTCAGTGTTAAACTCTCTGAAGAACACCCACCCTTCTTCATCAACATTTCCCAGTGTTTTCCAGCCAGCTATGACAATTTTTGACCCCCAACCTCTGCAGCCTCTGTTTTCCATAGTTTCCGGTCATCTCTAACCTATGGCCATTATCTGTCAAACTTGTCACTGTTTTTGGCCAACTGTGACATTTGCTGCCTTGCTCTGTTCTCTCCCTGCATTGTTCTGTGGTTTAATCTATCTTAAACAGGTTTCTCATCTCTCTGATTTGTGCTCTCTTCTATGTTTACCACCCCCCTCCCTTCTGTTCTAGTTGGGTTAGTGGCTTCCCTCTACCTACTACAGCATTTTCAGGGTTGGCCACCACACGCAACTATTTGGGATTGACAACTATGATATTATTATAGTTATTGTACTGTAGTTTTAATAACAAGTGGAGGAAAATATTTTGGCTACAGGATGCAGCCTGATTTAGTTCCACTCTGCTAAACTGGTGATGATTTCCTTTGCAAATGTAGGGAATATTAAGGTTGTAGTTTGCAACTTAAGGGATATGGAAGGGTGTATCACTGGAGGGGTATTTCTCCCCATTTTTCTTTAGTGATGCCATTCCTCTCTGCATAGTGAAAATTTTAAACTGGTATTTAGTTGAAGTAATGTCTCTCTTAAATTTGGTCTTTATTGATGAATGAGGGTTTTTGGGTTGGGTGTTGAGATATTTCTGTTGTTTTGAGACCCTTTAATTTGTTCTTTAAATTGGAAGGGGTTTGGAGGAATCAAATGTTGATAGCTTTTTTGAAGATGTTTTGATAAATGGTAAACCATGGAGTGCTGGAGTGCCAGAGGTGTTGAGCGGTTCGCATGTTTATGTATGTGCCCATGCAAGTCGTGATGTGAGATGTGGTGTTTGTGGGCCAGTTCTCATCAATAAGCTGAATGAGGAAATTGAGCTCCGAGGCTTGAAAGATCAGATATCTGTTACTGCATGTTCTCATATTGGTGGGCATAAGTATGCTGGGAATGTAATCATATACAGCCCAGGAGCAGATGGAAAAATTACGGGTCACTGGTAAACTCTCTGACCTCCACAGTTGCATCCTTTAATTTTGAAGGAATTCATCGCAGATTAATTGTAGCACATAATAATTATTTACAGGTATGGCTATGTTACTCCTGATGATGTTTCTGAATTGTTGGACAAAGATATTGCAAAGGGAGAGGTCATACACCGACTTTTGAGGTTGGTATTTTTGTGGTTATGAATTGAGTATTTTGATTTAATGTTAATTTGAAGGATATGTTATTTCTTATGACAAAATGAAACATTTATAATAATGAAATGTGATTTTTAAAATTCTAGAAGTATTATGCTGTTGGCTGCTGGACTATATGGTAGATTGATCAAAACAATCACTGTTTCATTCCACGCACTTGTACATGCATTAACAGTTGATTTGAGGAGGGTTTACAGAGTTGGAGGCTACATATTTTTCTCATGCCTTTGGATGATTATTAAATTTTGACTAGATGTTTTTATTTATTTCTCCTCTTCTCTGTTCATTATTCTGGTGTTGATGAGTTGCATTGCAGAAATACTTGAGCTTAATGGGTGGAAATTTTTAAAGGAAGAATGTGTCTCTAGTTTGATTGTGATCATATTTGGATTTGAAATTATTGCGTCAAGGATTTTGTTCTTCATAGGAAGAAATACATCATACCCCCCTGCGTATCATAAATACCTGTCTTTATGCTGTCTATTGTTGTCACATCTGATGAAATGCAAAATTATTAGAAGCATTTCGTTGAAGGCTTGAGATATTTACTTAATAGGTGAAATTTTATTTTATATTTACTGAACATTTTGTAAATGATGTAATTATCCAAGTTTCTTTCTCATATTTTTACTGATTCTTTAGTCATTTTGCTATTTATTGTTGGTAGCTTATGGAAAATGACGTGACATATATTTTATATTGGTTAAATATACGTGAAAACTTTTTAAGTTTTAGTTCTTACACATGCATAGAAGTTAAGTTTTGCCCCCTTCCATTATTTGTTGACAACTTGACCTCAAAAAAAACCTTGGCTGTAAAATACCACTTCAAAAGTTTTCTGAGGTGATAAACTTCTACAAAAAAAATGTGTAAGGACTAAAACTTATAGTTTTCTTGCATAGGGACTAAACAATGATGTCTATGCCATGTTGGCCCAGTTGAATGGATGGCCCACTATAAGATATCAGATATATATTGATATGTCTATAATTCACTTTTTTGTCAGCCTTGTCTTGAGAAAATCTAAATGGGCATCTTCTTGAGCTTATGTTTTAAAATAGTGAAAGCGGAAGTTGGATTTCTTCATCTTGGGTAGCAGTCATTCCCTATATTGGCATCTATATCAAAATAATGCAGCCTTCATTCATTGTCGTGTGCATTAATTCTCATCCATCTATCTGAATGTTGGTTTATGTCCTGCTTCTATTTGTAATGATTTTCTGTCGGAATTATTTCCTTTGTTATCCGCCCTGGTTTCATAATTTAAAATAGTCAAAGGAAAAAAATATTTTGTAGTTTCAGTAAATGGTATATTGTCATTGATACTGTTCAGTTGCTTCATGTAGTTTAGGCCCTTCAGTGTTTTTTTTTTCCTTCAAAGTAGAACATATCATTAAAAATTCAACTATAGAGTCACATGGAAGCCATATAAACCTAATGAGGTACATCCAGAAACAACCACTTACCAGAAGAAAGACAAAGAAAGAGTAGCTAAAACATGGGCCGGTTTGTTTGCTTTCCCTAGGAACATGATTGAGAGTAAAACACTGGAAATTCTGTATTAATCCTTCAAGATCAGCAATAACTCTGGAAATTCTGTATTAAGGATTGACATTTTCTTTTCTTATAATGGAGGGATATATGCTAATATTTTTAAAATTTATACTACAGGGGCCAAATGGGGCCATCGGTTGCAGAAGTTAAGGGAGCAGATGACCAGAAAGTTGCCAATGGAGAGGATACCGCCAGCAAGGAAAATGTTGGTGGTTGTTGCCAGGGTGTTAATGGAGTTTCTTGTTGCAGAAGTGCAAGTGTTGAGAAAAACAACGAAATTGAAGAAACACCTGAAGCACATAAAAAACAGGGGAGAAAAATCTGTTCTAATTGGCCAGTATTACAGCAGCGTGATATTCTCGCAGCTGTTGGTGTGGTTGGAGCAGTAGCAGTTGTAGCTGTGGCTTACAAACTTTATAGAAGAGCAGGGTAGATTACTAAAATATGTTTTAGGTTGCTTGGGAGTTTATTCGCTCGATATTTTTTTTTTTTGTCGAGGTTCAATAAGATCAAGAAACAATTACGATAACCACTATTTAAGTTATACATCGACGCTTCCGCTTGTTGCACGGAAGGAATAGTTAAAAGTCTAGCAACAGATGTAGTGATGAAAACTTTATCATCTTTTTGAAGCCAACAGAATTATGATATTGCTGCTGAATGTTCCATAATGATATGTTTCTTTACTTACGTCACTGGCATTCTATGATACATATGTGACTACTAACTTATAATAATAAATATCCATATATAATCCTATTATCCAAATTCATACTTGTCATTGTTTACACTGGATATGACCCATTATACTTTTGTACATTTGCAAATATTTTGCTGGGGTTTCTCTCTAATGTTTAGGCACGTGAAATTTTATTAAGCTTAGATCTGAATCCATTCTTTCTTAAATAATAAGACAAGGTCTTCTAGAAAAGATAAAAGTAGCACGTTTTTTTTATGTAGGACTTCATAATTATTATAGATTCCATTAATTACAAATTTTGTGTGCAGGCAATGATTTAAATCTGTTCTGGTTTATATGATCTTAAATTATTGCCATTCGGTTTTGCAAGCGACAACTGATGTGTTTCTTTTTTTAATCACTAGGCGACAACTGATGTGAAAAAGCAGTGTGCTGCTTACTTAGAAAAAAAGAAAAAGAAACACCACGCCAGGTATTTGCTGACAACTTTTTTTTGTATTCTTTACTCCATTAGGATAGGATTTAGATTTTCAATGTAGCATCAATAATTGTAAAAGTGGAGCATAATAATCAACTAACGTAACCAACATCAAATTTCAAAATCATACCGGAAGATCTCTAACCAATCTTTATATACACAGAATGTTATGACTTCTACAGTATTAGTCCAAATGACTGATATTTATTTGAAGTCCTAAACAAAGTAGTCACTTCAATGATATAAAAACGTTAGAGAAAAAGGTAATGCGTTACATTCGAGCTTAAAACTATGCCACTGTTAACTTGAAAGATTATGTACTAAGTTTTGCAACCATCTCCTCAACCAATCTCAGCGTAGTCTCAGCCAATTCCTCTCCTTCGACATCATCAATTTCTTCCATGATCCGTTCTACAACCTCATGATTAATTTGCTTACTTGTTGAACCGTAATTGGAGCAATCCCTCAGAAGCAGCAACAATTTCTTGGCCAAATTTCTGGCTCTCCAAGTTCCATCCACACTTAACTGAAGCAACCCTGGCATCACTCCCTCTCTCAGGATCATTCCTCTGTACTTCTCTCTGCAGCTTTGGCAAAAAAGTAGTAGTGTCGCCACTGCATGCTCTTTGCTTTGAAATGACCCATCTTCAATAGTCTCCACTAGTGTCCTAACTGCTCCACCAATACTAGCAGCCTCACAAAGTGCACTCTTTGATGAAGAGACAATGTGTTCTAGCAACCCAATTGCTTTGTCAACCAATGTGGATGACTTTTCTGATCTGTGGATAAGTTCAAGCAAGGAAAGTAGGACCCCAGAAGAGACAATGAATGTAGTAATAATCTCTTGGCAGGTTGAGAGGTTGTGGAGAGTGGCTAATGTGTCAAGCTGGGACTGAGTGCTACTATTGCTATTGAGAAATTGTGCCAAGAGTTGGATAGCCCCAGAGGAAGCAATTGCTACCTTATTTGAGTTGCAAGAAGAGATGGTTAGCAATGTGGCTATTGTCAGTTCCACCACTGTCTGGCTTTGGCAATGGAAGAGACTCAGCAACACTGGCAATGCTCCTGACTTGATGATCCGAGACTTGTTTCTGTGAAACATGTAGAAAAGCTTGTGTGAGATTTCAGCAACACGTGAAGGAAACCTTTTGTGGGAATTCGTGAAATTGAAGGGATTTATATTCTCCATTGTGTTTTTGTACATTACTTTATAGTAAAGTATCATGATGGTAGAACAAAATTTATATTAACAAATGGCAAGCATTGGACATATCCCTTAGTTCCATTAACAAAAACCAATCATGGGAGCTTTAAAAAAGTTCAAACTTTAATCATGGAGACACATTCTTTATTATTATTTAAAATTTATTAAAAATTACAAAAAATTGTGAATTTCACATCTTAGTTAATAAGTGCATCGTGTAATTTTGTAATAAATTTTAACTACTAAGAGTGTATTGTTTGCCCTATTGCTATAAAACAATGTTGGAAGGAGCAATGTACTATTTCAAAAGAAGTAAATTTTGAGAATCAAATTGTTCTGGTCTCTAAGCTTCTCATAATGGAGTTCTTCTGGGGTATAGACATATACTATATATGGCTAATGAAAAATCTATAATAACTAGGTGAATGAACTAACCTTTCACTTCCAAAGGCAAGGCTAAGTAGAGCACAAAGAGAAGCTTCAACGGCTTCATAGTTTTGAGAATGAAGCATGGAAATTAGGGGTACCATAACTCCACTTTCTGCCAAATTGTGCCTCTGCCTTCTGCTGAATTTCCTGAGTTCCATAGCTGCTTGAATTTGCATTTCTGTGTTACCATTCCAAAGGTTTTCCACAACCTCTTTCTCCATTGAAGCTTTCTCAGTGTGCTCTCTTCTTTTGCTTTGAATCACTCAAAACTCCACATTTTCTCTGTTAGACAGTGGTAATTGTAGTGTAGCCTTAGGGTGGTTGCTTGAAGAAGTAACATTACGCTTTTGCGGTTACCCCAATCCATTGTTTCAGCTACAAGCAACATAAAATTCTTTTGGTTAGCTTTTTTTATTCTCTTTGGTGAACATTAGTATTAGAATAAAAACAAAAAGGAATGTCAAATTTGCTAAGTTTGAATCTTCAACTTTCCTTACTCAGAAGTAAATATTATTTTATATTTAGATTTATACTCAATTTTATTTTGAGCTTTTATTTATTTTAAAGTTAATCTAATCCAAGCATGCAATAAATATTCTATCGAACTTTTCTAGAGATTTTGTCTTTGCTTTGAAGAAGGGTTAACATTTCTACATTATGTGGCATTTTGATATTTTTTTTTCCCATGAAGGTAAAGGTATCTTAGTAGGACCTCATGAAGAATACCGTTGTTAATCACATGCGCAACAACATTCATTATTTTTTCCTTGAATTATGCCAAACCCCTTTCGAGCTTTGACTTTGTTATTAGAGCCACCAATAAAACATAATCATAAGAGTAACCAGAAAATTTGAAAACAAAAAGGGACACAGAAACTATCGCAGAACCCCTTGTAATAGAAGAATTCTTGTAGCGACAACAATTTGTTGAAGGTGTAATCACTGTTTAAGGAAATCACTTATTTTATTTACCATGGAATTTTATATTGATTTAAATTAATCATCTGTTATCTTTAATATTGTACATAAATGTGATGTTTTTCTTATGAATTGTAAAATAAACGTATGAAATAGATAAAAGGGCTGTTTCACACATAAAATCTTTTTTTCATCTTTGACTCATATTTTTTGGAAATTATAATTTTTAAAATTCATATTTTGTTTCGGAATGTCATAAATATAATTGAGATATCTAAAACATTCCTCGGAGAGAGACATAATTATATATATATATATATATAAAAGGCTGCCTTCATTGGAATCTTGAATTCCCACTTCCTTTTATGAAAAAAAGTTTTATCGGGAAACTTAATTATAAAATAATTCTTGGGAATGTTAGATTATTAAGAATGATTTTAAAATTTTCATATTAAACCTGAGATTCATATTAAAATTTAAAGAATACCCCTAACAATCAACCTCAAAGCACAGGGTAAAAGGAATCTCAAGACAATGAGTAATACCCTCCAATTTATGAACATATTATTTGTTATTTATTTAAATGTCGTGTGATGTGATTGAAAGTCTGAATATCTGTTTGGAAATTATGAGACTTTCAATTAAATTCATAATGGTAAATAATATCTAGATTTAGAAATTTGGTAAACTCCAAAATTAAACCGGAAAATAGAGTAATAATTAAGTGCTTTGCCAGATGGCAGAAAGACCAACTCTTCCCCCTTTCTTAGCCTAACTCAGATGTAGTAGAATAAATAAAGAAAATAGTTTAAAAATTTAGGAAAAATATTTTGTAAGCTTAGAATAATATTTTAGTAATAAGCTAATTGTGATTTTTTTAATATATTTTTCTGAGTAAAAATAAAATAAGTGTAATAAATAAATTAAAGTTAAAAGGAGCAAAATTATGAAATAAATTTCAAATACTTTAAAATTTTAGGAAACTGGGATTTTAAGCACAAACATATGTTTAGAATATTATTTTAGATTTTTCTTATAGGAATTTCCTTGGTCTCCCAAGTATCAATATATCATGGCTAGATGACTCATCTTTCATATCCTGAATGTAAAAGTCTGTAGGGAAGATCAAATCATCAACCTTGACAAACACATCTTCCATAACTTCAAGTGGCTTTATAGTGCTCTTGTTTGCCAACTAAATGACCACACCTGTAGGCATCAAATCACCAATCTGTAATAATCTAAAATAGATGTAGGCATGACATTAATAGAAACATCAAGATTTAGCATAATATTTGTAAAAATTTCTTCTCATATTCACTCTCTCATCCCCCTTTAGTTTCTTCTTGTTGGTACACAATTCCTTAGGGAACTTTGTATATTTTGAAATCTATCAGATGATAGCAAGGAGAGAAATGTTGACTTCCACCTTCTTAAACATGTATAACAACTCATTATCTGACTCAAATCTCTTCTTTGTTGCTATTGCTCTACTTGGGAAAATGAAGAGGAATATGATTTTTCATAATTGATGCATCATCCTTTTTTTGTTGCAATGATAGTTGAAGAATCAAATTCAGGTATTGTACTTGATTATTGTTGTGGTTATTATGGTAACTCCTTGCCACTCCTCAAGGTAATGGCACTAACAGTCACCTTTTGATTCATGATTGTTTGGGAAGGAAGATTACCAAAACCTTATGACTAGAGTTGATTGATTATAATGGACAACTGTCCAATCTGAGTCTTCAAATCTTGGATAGTGGCAGTCATATTCTACTAAAACAACATGTTGTTGGAAACCATTTGTTGCATCATCTTCTCAAATAAAAGACTACTCTTCTATGTAAAAGGAGGATGAGGTTGCCGTTGTTGTTGCTTAAATAGAGGTTGGTACTTACGTACATGTTGGAATGGTATCTCTTGTTACTATTGCCCCTATTTCAAGTTTGGATGATCTTTCCAACTAGGATTGTATGTATGAGAGTATGAATTATAATTTTGTTGTTGCTATAGAAGTCTATATTGTTGGCTAGTGTACATTTTAGAAACATTAGCATTTGTTTCTTGCAAAGTAGGACATGCATATGAAAGATGTTCTTTGGAAGCACAAATTCCACATACTCTTGTTGGAAACCATTTATTGCACTTACCTGTTATTGTTGGCCAATTACTAGATGGCTCACCATGGTAATCAGCTTATTCAACTTATTTTCAAGCCTTTGATTATTTGTTTCAAAAACAACACCAACACTAGCACCATAACCAGTTTCCAACTCATTTACTCCCTAACAGCTCCTCTGAATCCAAATTGTTGAGTGTTGGCTTCCATGTTTGTAATGAGTTGCCTTGCAACAAGTGGTGTCTTATCCATCAGTGCTCCTCCACTAGTTGCATCAATCATGCTCCTATCCATCAATATTAGTCCCACATAGAAATATTGCAGGAACAATTGCTCACTTATTTGGTGATGAGGACAAGTGGCACATAACTTGTTGAATCTCTCCCAATACTCATACAAAGTTTCACCATTTTGCTACTTTATTTCACAAATCTCTTTTTTAATTGTTGCAGTTCTAGAGGTAGGGAAATTTTTTTCAAGGAATAATATTTTCATCTCATGCTATGTAGTGATGGTTGCTGGTAAAAAGTAAAGCCAATCTTTTGTAGCACCATCCAAAGATAAAGGAAATGCCTTCATTTTGACATGATCTTCTAGCACTCCTTGAGGTCTCATGGTGGAACACACTATATGGAACTCCTTTAAATGCTTATAAGGATCTTCATTTGTAAGTCCACAAAACTTAGGCAACAAATGGATTATCTCGGATTTAAACTCGTAATTAACTTGATTTTCAGGATATTGGACACATCGTGGTTGACGTACAACATTAGGTGAAACAAAAGATTGGCTTCCATGTTTTTAGTTTCAGAATTTTTAGAATGATAAGAATGAAAATAAAAAATAAACAAATCAACAAAAGTAGGATTAAGAATTATAGACCTGGCAACTACACTACTACTATTCCTAACTTTTAACCTATGAAGTGTTCTTTCCATCTTTGTATCCAAATCACACAAAACTCAAAAATTAGATCTAGTCATACATTAGATAACACATACAAGGCACACAGTAACTGCACAACTACATAATTGAAAAGTCAACAGAAAGTCAAAGTCAATAGAAAAGTCAAATATACTTCTAACAAGTCCTATAACATGCAAAACACTACCAGATGAATTTTAAAAAACTATTTCAACACTAGAACATCATTTCATATCATATTTCCTATTTTTTTTTTATAACCTTTTGGTGATTTTTAAAAATTAAAAAAAAAATATTGAAAAAGTGTTCTAAATGAAGGAATTTGGTAAAAATTAACCCCGATGCTCATAATCAATTTGTGATATGGGAACCTTGATGCATGAATTTTCGCACCTTTTGACAAAATTTTAGCCCAATTGGAGCTACTTCGGCCAAATGACCAAAATAGCCCTATTTGTAGAAGATGTAAGAATTTGGCAATTCTAAGGTTAGGTTACTGCTAAAAGGATAAGTTTGCTCAAAATCATGTTTTACCTTTGGGAACCAAATTTCACCTCAATTTGACAAGAAATGAAAATTCTATCTAGGGTCTAGAGACGAAAAATAAAGACAAGTTTGATTTCTACTAATATGATTTCTACCACTCCTCTATTTTCCCCTATTTTCATCCTTTATTTTTGCAGCCTACTTGCAACATTAGAGACCAAAATAGAGATAGAAATAAAATAGAGACAAATATAGAAACAAAAAAAATCAAATCGTTAATACTCAACACAAAGGTTACTAGATACAAAAACAATTAATCAAATATTTAATAGGCGTAATAAAATCAGAATACAATGACTTATGTCCCCAGCAACAACATCATTTTGACAGCATTGTCGAATCACTATAAAAGCAACTAGATTTTTCCCAAAGATTTGTAATATAGGGAACAACCTAGGTCATTCTTCTCTAAAACACAAGCCAATAGGATCCAAAATTATCACAAAATTAGGGAGGGGAATTTTATGAACAATAAAGAGATATTAAAATATTACAGACACAAATAGAAAATTCAATCAGAAAATTCAATAAAAAAATTACATCGATTCAAAATTTCAATCATTATAATAAAATTTTCACAATTTAAATTATAATCTAAATTCAATCAACCTAAATCAACATGAACATAATATAAATGTAGATCTAAATCTAGATCTATTGAATTTCATAAAAAATGAAACGCAATCGCGATCTCATAGTTTTCTTCAAATTTAAGAATAGTGAACAGTTGATTTAGGCGATTTAAGTTATTTTAGGTCTAGATCTAAAATTAATCTTCAAATCTAATTTGGATCCATTAAAACAAAATTCATAATCATGAAGAATGAAAAATAGATCTAGAATAGAGAAGAAGATGAAGAGAATTCGTTTGGTATAAAGATCGGGAACTCAAATTTTACAATAGTTTTTGAAACCTAGAATCGGATGAATAGATTAGGCACACATCTTCATCAAGACGCTACAGTTCCTTTGTGTAAGAAAGTTTAAGGAGAAAATTCCAAGAGAGAAAGAGAGAGAATTTAGAGAAACCTGTATAGGAAACAACTCCCAAAACAAAAATTCTATCTCCCAAATCATAGGTCCCATCTTACCCATTTTACTCAACTTTATTTATTATCACTAACATCGGTAGCTCAAATCTAAATTTCATATTCCACATAATAACT